TTTGACAGAGCACGAGCAGGGTGAGCGGCAGGCAGAGGGAGAGGGAGAAGCAGGCTTCCCGTGGAGCAGGGAGCCCGATGCCGGGCTCGATCCCACACCCTGAGATCATGACCTGAGCCGAAGGCAGACACTTAACGGACTGAGCCACCCAGGCGCCTGAATCCAATTTTTTAAATGAGCAAAACACTTAGACCTTTCAAAAAAAAAAACAGGGTATGCAGTTAGCCAGTAAGTGTATGAAAGGAGGCTCGATTTCATTAGCTATCTGAGGAACACTATTAAAACCATAATGTAAGGCAAATACACCAGAGCGGTTAGAATGAACAAAGCAAGTGCTGTTCATAAGAGATGCATCTGGGGCCCCAAGAGCACCCCAGGTGCGGGGATGTGCCGGGAGGACCCCCGGGCTCAGCAGACGGTCGACCCCACGGCCGTGGTTTATACAGAGAGGACAGGAGGCCAAATGAGCTCAGGGCAGAGGCGTTGGGGGGCGGGGGCGGGACACCAGGCGTGAGCTTCCAGAGTCCTCTCCGGGGGTGTCCCACAGGACGCGCTTAGCTCCCCCCAAACAATGGGACTGCGTGTGTGAGGTGTGGTCTCCAGGGGGCCGGCAGAGACCCAGCGCCTGGTTCTCTGTGGGGGTCGGTCTCGCGGGCCCCTCTGCCCGGCTTGGGCCCGGACCCCAGACTCCGGGAGGGGAGCAGGCGCTCAGCCCGAACCTCGTGTCTGCACAGTTCAGGGACCCGAGCCCCCTGGAGGGCAGAAGCCCCTGGAGTATGGTTCCCAGTTGCCACTGAGGGCCCACCTTGCAAGCTGGCCTTTCCCAGGACAGCAGTCTCAGGTCGGCTGTGTTAACTCTTCTTCTGCACCAAAGGGGAAAAGTTGGCTGTATTAAGTCCTAAAAGCAAGGGTTTGCATCCCCTGGGGCCCCCGATGTACAATATGAGCTGTGGACGTATGCCCAACAGCAACACATATGAATGGCCACCCACAGGCAAGTAGAGGCATGCTCAGCGCAGTGCCCTAAGCAAGGGCCAACACCAGAAACTACCCAAATGAGCCTCCGTGCAGAATACTAGATGCTTGGGAGTCAGGGGCAGGAGGGAGTCTGCAGGGGTCATGGTCGTGGTCACTCTCTTGACTGTGAGGGTAGTTTCTCAGGTTTATTACACATACGTCAGAACTCACCAAGTTGCGTACTTTAAATATGTGTCATTCCTTGTATGTCAATTATCCTTCAATAAAGCTGTTAAAATGGTTTTATTTCATGTTTCCATAATATTTGTTCCCCTCTTGTATTTGTTCTCCTGTGAATCATCTGTTCATCTCCTTTCCCATTTTTATTCTAGTATGTTTGTTCTCTATCAAGCGCTCTGTCATCTGTCGTCGGCATTTCCTTCTGGTCCGTATCTTGTTTCTTAAGCCCATTCACAGTGTCTTCCACTAGGGGAGATTTTTGAAGTAGACAATGCGGTCAGATGTGTCAGGTTTTTTCCTATGGTACCCTGAAGATATCTGCTCATACATAGGTCTTGGAGCCTAGGAAGTTTTCAAAAATACATCCTTCTCCAAGCAGCCTCATGCTCTAAATAACTATGAACAAATATTGCGCATCATGAATTCTTCTATAGGAAGGTGTCACCCTGTGGGCATTTACCTGGTGTGCACTTATTACAAACAATCTTTTTTTGTTGTTGTGAATTACGGAAACCAGGAAAAGACAATATAATAATGAATTGTCTAATGATAACAAATAGCCACCCCATATTTTGTGCCTACAATGAGGAAGGCAGAAATTGGCATTAAGTGTTAAGAACTCACGGACATACTTAATCTCTGCAAAGCCCAGCTCAGTCTTCCAGCACCTCCAATATCCTCCTCCAGTCTTTCCTATTTTAGTGAACAACGCCATCTAATTGCTCAAACCAGAGAACTAGAAGTCACCCTGACACCTCCTACTCCTGCAACCTGCCCAGACAAACCAGTGCCACGTCCTGTCAACTCACCCTCCATCCTGGCTTCTCCATCTCCGCTGCCAGCGCCCTTACCTAAACCAGTACCAATCCTCGCCCAAATGACTCAACCAGTCTCCTGCCTCCATTCCTGCTTCCCTACAATTCAGTCTTTACACAGACGTTAGTATCACCTTAAGAGATAAACTGGATCACAAGCCTCACCTGCTTAACACCCTTCAATGAATTGCACTGCATTCACGGTAAAACTCAAACTCTAACGTGGTCTGTGGGACTGTCCCTAATCTCTCCCCTCCCTGTTGCTCGCTAACATTCAGCCAGCCTTCCAGTTCCTCCAACATGGCAGCTCTTTTCTACTGTTACATCAACTATGCTCTGCTGCCCCTACTTCTCCCCAGTTTCTTTGGTTAATTCATACACAAAACTCTCTTTCTTTTCATAGCATTTCATACATTCTGGGTCCTCAGCTTCAGGGTCTCTCAAGGTCTGCAATCAAGGTGCCCACTGGGCAGCAGCCATCTGAAGGCAGGCCTGGGACAGGACCCCCTTCCAAAACCACTCATGTTGTCGTTGGCAGGATTCAGTTCCTTGCAGGCTCTTGCACTGGAGGTCTTAGTCTCTTGCTGACTATTGCCTGGAGGTCATCCTCAGTTCCTTGCAGTGGGGGGCTCTCCAACATCTCAGCTTCTTTCTTCAAGGCAGGCAGAGGTTGTGCTAGGAAGACAGAAGTCATTCTTTTGTTTGTTTTTTACTCCATTAATTAAAAAAAATTTAAATTGTGGTGAGATATACATAAAATTAAACTTACCATTTTAACAACTTTAAGTGCACAGCTCTGTGGCATGAAGCACACACACACTGTCGTGCAGCCACCCCCACCCTCCGTCTCCAGAACTTTCCATCTCCCCACACGGAGACTCTGTCCCCATGAAGCACGGACTCCCACCCTCTGCCCCAGCCCCAGCTCCCACCCTCTCCTCTCTGTGTGGACAGGACTCCTCTGGGGACCTCCTGGGAGTGGGGTCCTGCGGGATGTGTCCTTCTGGGTCTGGCTCCTCTCACTGAGCATGGTGTCCTCAGTCCATCCACATTGTAGCATTCCCTGCTCTTTATTCTTAGCAGCTCTCTCCACGCCTGGCCCATAGTAGGCTGACAATAAGATTTTAGTTAACAAATGAATACAGTCTTCTTCATAACTCTGGTTGCTTTTATAGGGCATGGAACAAGCGCTTTTTTTTTTTTTTTTAATGTTCCTTCTCTCTGTCAAAAAAAATCAACGATTTTCAGTCTTAATCTTAATTGACCTATTGGCAGCATTGATACAATAACCAAATGATTGTGTTAAAATACATTGTATCGGTCACGTCTCTGATCAAAATTCTGCAATTGCTCCCTATTTCCCTCCAAAGCCTTTTGTGACTTACCTCCTCTTATCTCCAAATACACTTCCCCAGGTCACTGTGCTTTGGTCACACTGACGTTCTTGTACACACCTGCCTCTCAGTCCCTTATGTGTGAAAGGGTTTGCCTCCATGTACCCACTGAGCCAACTTCTCCACCTTCATCTTTGCTCAAACATCTCTCTGTGAGGCGTATTTGAGCATCTTACTTAAAATAGCAGCCCATACCCAGCATAGTCCCTTGTGGGTTCTATTATCCCAGAGCACTTCCGACATAATTCCATCACTTATTATGTGTATTGATTATTTTCTGCCTCTTGTCCTAGAATGTAAGCTCCAAAAGGGCGGGAAGGGTGATCTTTGTTTTGCTCGCAGATGTTCTTCTAGAAAAGGCCCTGATACGTAGTAGGCAGGGATATTGAGCAGATGAATCTGCGTCTTAAGCTGACGGGAAGGGCATCGGCGTGGTGGACGCTCGGGGAGGAACAGTCTCCCGCAGGAAACGGTTTCCCGTCGCGGGCCAAGCCTCCATAGGAGCGGCATTCAGCACCAGGCGCCCCTGGACAGCTCTGGAAGCCAAGTCCTGTCGGAACCTTTCCTCTAAGGTCGGAGTTTCCTGCCGGAGCCACCTGCTGGCTGTACCTACCGCTCAGCAAGAGGAAACTACTTTCCCGTGCCGGTGGCGGGGGGGGGGGTCGCAGGTTGAGTGGCGGCCGCAGTAGCCAATGACACGGCGCGTTCGGCCCCGCGGCGCTCGGGGTAGCTAATGGGCAGGGGCGTGGGCGGGGCGTAGGCGGGGCGTGGGCCGCCGCGCGCGGAGCCGGGGCTGGACAGGACCGCGGCTGTGGGGTCGAGACCGCGCGGCGGTTGAGCGGCG